ACCACACTCTTCTTTTTAAAAAAACAAACAAATAACTTTAATGTATTTTTTTATTTTATTTTATTGATTTTTTACAGGGAAGAAGGGAGAGGGAGAGTTAGAAACATCGATGAGAGAGAGACATCAATCAGCTGCCTCCTGCACATCTCCTACTGGGGATGTGCCCGCAACCCAGGTACATGCCCTTGACCGGAATCGAACCTGGGACATTTCAGTCCGCAGGCCGACGCTCTATCCACTGAGCCAAACCGGTTTCGGCCAGAATGTTTGTCTTTTCATTGATTTGTGAGAGCCCATATTTTAAAGAATCTCCTTTTAGTGTCATGTGTTATACATACTTTTTCCCAGTTAATTGCCTTTCAATTTTATGGTCTCTTTGTCATTATAGAAGTTTTAATTGATTTTTATAATCCTAATGCCTTTTTAAAAATTAAGGTATAATTGACTACTTTTTTAAAATAATGAAATTGTCAATCTTTTATAGTTTGTGGGTTTATGCTTAAAAAACATTCCGATGCCGAACCGGTTTGGCTCAGTGGATAGAGCATTGGCCTGTGGACTAAGGGGTCCCAGGTTCGATTCCGGTCAAGGGCATGTACCTTGGTTGCAGGCACATCCCCACTGGGGGGCGTGCAGGAGGCAGCTGATCGATCTCTCATCGATGTTTCTGGCTCTCTATCCCTCTCCTTTCCTCTCTGTAAAAGATCAGCTGCCTCCTGCACATCTCCTACTGGAGATGTGTGCACAACCCAAGTACATGCCCTTGACCGGAATCGAACCTGGGACCTTTCAGTCCGCAGGCTGACACTCTATCCACTGAGCCAAACCCGTTTCGGCAATAAAATATATATTTAAAAAAAAAAAAACATTCCATAGCCTAAGATTAACAAATGTTCACCTAGCCCAGCCAGCATGGCTCAATGGTTGGTTTAGTGTTGACCTATAAACCAGGTCAGAGTTCAATTCTCCATCAGGGCACATGTCCGGGTTGCAGGCTTGATCCCCAGTAGGGGGCATGCAGGAGGCAGCCAATCAATGATTCTCTATCATTGTTGTTTCTATCTCTTTTCCTTTCCCTTCCTCTCTCAAATAAAACACACACACACACCAAATGTTCACCTATATTTTTCATTCATTTTTTTATTTGATTTTTTTGTTGTAGTTAATCATCATCTGAGGATATTTTTTCCATTGATTATTTTTTTTCAGAGAGAGTGGAAAGGAGGGGGGAGATGTGAGTCACATTGATTGGTTGCCACTTGCAACCTGACCACCAGGACCAGGAATGGAGCCTGCAACCATGGTATGAGCCCTTGTCCAGAATTGAACCTGGGACCGTTCAGTCCTCAGGCAGATGCCCTATTCACTGAACCAGCTAGGGCCATTCTTTAATTTTTTAGTGTATTTCATTTTTCAATCTATTGGTAAGAAGAGTTTGCTATTCTTTTTTTCTTGCTATTCTTATTCAATAACCTCTTGGCTGTTCTCATCTGTTTAGTCTTCCAGATGAGTTTTAGAATCATTTTAATACAATATCCCTTTCCCATCTAACTAGAATTAAATTTATAAATTAAGTTCTTACAAATTAATTACATAATTACTCCATCTCTGAATATGTTGGTCCCATCCTGAATAAACTAACTTCTTTAAATGCTGCTGTTTTTCAAAAAGCTTTGAAATCTGAATTAGGAGAAACAGATCACTCAGAAGAGATTCTTTTTTACCTTGTAATAGGCTAGGAATGTCGTTTTGCATTATTTTCCTATACAATGTGAACTGTGAGGACTCCTGGGAGATTTGCATATCAGAAAGGTAAAAAAAACAAAGCTTTCCTGACCATCTACTTAATTTGTTGTTACTATTACTATGTCCAAAACAAAAGCTGTAAAATTAAACTGCACCTTTCACCTAGGAGGCTATCCACAATAGGAATTCACTAATGCAAAAATGATGCATTATCTGTTTACAAATCAAAGTGAAATGTAATTCAATCTCTGAGCACAGATTTCCTTATACTCTTTAAAAAGTACTCTGTTTGCTCTTTTGACTGCACTAATCATCTGGCTGGATGCAATAAGAGATAGATACTCTTCTACATACTGGTTGGACAGCATGGCTTCTGAAGGATGCAAAATTCAGGCTTGAGGTTTTTCTGCCACGGGGGCGTTTTCCTGGTCTTCTCAAAATCTTATAGTCTTGGTCTAATTTTATCAAAACTTCATGTGTCACAAACTTACATGACAACTGGAACTGAGCAATCAGAAAAGACACTAAAATCCACAGAGCTGCAATCAGGATCACAACAGCAGTTGACGTCACACTGTGCTGGGGACAGGTCACAGACACACAAAGCAGCAACTACAGAAAGGAGAGAATGGATGTAGAGCATCACAATCAGCAGGTAGTGACTGCCCCCTGCCACTGCAATGCACCAAAAAAAAAAAAAAAACCTGTTTCATACAAATATCCGCTTGATTTTTGCTCCTGCACTTTGGGAGAGATGAAGTGAAGATTAGTCAGTTTGAGCACTCCTCAATCCGGGGTTTCCCCAAAGTGGCTAGTCATCTGGCTCACCTGGAAAGCTGTTTGTGCTCTATCTACCTACAAAGACCCCGATTTGGTAAGCTGACTGTGAAACCCAGACATCTGTGTTGTTTAAAAATTTTCCAGTGATGCTGACAGACAGGTTTAAGAACCAGCTAAATCACTTGCCTGACCATAAGAACCATCCGATTAATATTGCAGACCCCCACCCTCCTCTGATTCAGAGGAAGGACCCATTTAAGGCCACCAGGCATCAGGGTTCTGTGCATTCTCTGCATTTAATCTTCACAACTGCCTAGAAACTGCCGGTTTAATTTCTTCTTTGGCTGCAAAGCTGCAAGGACTTCATTCATTATTACCTTTAGCATTAATGTTGTCCAGGACCACTGCAAGTACTTTCAAAGATTTGCTATTGTCCCACTTACGCTCTCTGAGCCTCGGTTTTCTCATCTGTAGGACAAGGATACTATCTGCCCTGCCTCTAAAAGTTATTGAGAGAACCCCTATGAAACACTTGGGAATGCTTGCACAATAAAGTGTTCAATAAACGTTAACCGCCGAATCCGGTTTGGCTCAGTGGATAGAGTGTTGGCCTGTGGACTGAAAGGTCCCAGGTTCGATTCCGGTCAAGGGCATGTACCTGGGTTGCGCGCACTTCCCCAGTGGGGGATGTGCAGGAGGCAGCTGATCCATGTTCCTCTCTCATCGATGTTTCTGACTCTCTATCTCTCTCCCTTCCTCTCTGTGAAAAATCAATAAAATATATTTTAAAATAAAAATAAAAAAATAATAAAAATAATAATAAACGTTAACCAATATTATTATTACATCCTCACCCGGGCTCCCCCCTCCAGGATGGATCACTGTGGATCCCCTGGACCGGGCTCTTGGTACCCACCGTCCGTGACTGGGGTGGGCCTGGGACCGGACGAGGGTCCGGGGACACTGGGGGTATCCGGGGGCCTAGCAGACAAGGCAGGTCGGGGAGTCGTCGGGGCTGGTTCCGTAGAGTTGAGGCCCTCCGTTGTCACCACCAGG